TTAGCTAAGTATTAATCATGCCTTTCTTTCACGTATTGCATTCCTGTGTGACTCATTTTACTGTTTACTTGGCGCCTTCGGTATTGTGTTTACAGTCACTCAGGTTTAGACGGTTCTCCTCAAAAACTCCGTTGTCTCACTACATATTTTCGTTTTCTTTAGGTGACATATTTGTGTATTTTTGACCCTTACAGTAATATTTACAGGAAATAGTTGATTGAAATCGGAACTACAGAAACGAATATCCATTTGAATACAATAACAAAATGGTAGGTTTCGCCGACAAAGCAGGCGATCTACTTGTGTAGCGATGAACATCGAAAACAACTGAGGCAACCATTCGACCACTCCTAAGAGTTGCCAAAAGCGTGAGGAGCAGAGGGTTATTGGTGCCTGAAGGCGAAGCTTTCGATCCAGGAGTTCCTCGAACCTGTGTAAGAGTGACCTCACGAATACCACTCTTCTGTAAGATCTGTAACATCGATTGCTCTTCATCCGACCACGCCATCCGAGTCTATAAACGAGTGCTAGGCTATAGAACTAGGGGTGGGATATATGACCAGAAACTGCTTTTATACTCATTCGTATTTCCGACAAGAACAGAAGATACGATAGATTCCCTACTAAGCCACTTGAAACCCCCAAAATTGGGCTTTCTCGTCGGCAACAGTTTCTGTTTCCTTCCTCAAAGTCAAAGTTTCTAAGCGTTTTTGGTGTGAGGAAGCCACAGTGGCCTCCCCAGCTTCTCTAGTCTTCGGTCTTCGGTCTTGATCACTTTTAACTTGTACTTGGCTTACGGAGCAGGCCGACATCAACTTGGCCCTATCCTATCCTATTCTATCAAAGGAATCCTGGGTAAACAGGAGTTAGCCTTCCCGTTAGTAGGGAAGATAGAAGGCTCGGTTTGCCTAGAAGTGGTTCGACTCATGAACTACTTTTTGAACTATTTGTTTTGCTCCCATGCCAATCGTCTCTGTTCCAAAGGGTCCATCAGCGTTCGCACTAGCTCTATATAGGCACTTCGAACTTGTTTCAGTGGTTGGTGGGGTTTTACATTAACGGAACTGAAGATAGAAGGCTCGGTTTGCCTAGAAGTGGTTCGACTCATGAACTACTTTTTGAACTATTTGTTTTGCTCCCATGCCACTCGTCTCTGCTCCAAAGGGTCCATCAGCGTTGGCACTAGTTCTATATAGGCACTTCGAGCTTGTTTCAGTGGTTGGTGGGGTTTTACATTAACGGAACTGAAGAGAACAACTACAGTTCGACCACCTACTTTACAGGTTTATTTAGTGTTCGAGGCATCTCGAACTAGCGTAAAACCAGTCGGCAAAATCAAATAAAAATATTTACGCAAAAATGTCTCAACTGCTCGTTGAGCAGCAGCAGAATGTTATTTGTGGCCGCCTTTTGACT